ATCACGGCAGACAGCCCTGCAGGAGGCAGGCAGGCACGGTGCTAGAGCAGCAGCTGAGAGCTCACATCCAATCCACAGCACAGGAGCAGAGAGCAGACACTCTGAGAGTGGCAACCTTATTTTGAAATCTCAAAGCCCACCTCCAGTGACACACCTCCCCCAAGGCCACACCTCCTAATCCTTCCCAAACAGTTCCACCAACTGGAGACCAGGTATTCAAATACATGAGCCTGTGAGGCCATTCTCATTCAAATCAGAACATACCATAAGGATACCAGCTGCTTTCCAAGGTAATTAAAAATATAGAGTAATAAAATGGTTAAAAGAAGAAGAAAAGTGATACACTTCTAGGGGAGGAAGTGGGCCGGAGCAGAGAGAGGTTAGCAGCTTAAAGCTGTGCAAAGGATGAATACTTCTGCAGTAGGTGGGGCAGCATTTGGGCTCATCTGTGCAACATGGGCCTTATCTGTGTGTTCAATGTATTTTTATGCATGTATCACACATCTCATGGTCATCTTAGATCTCTACCAGGGTGTGCACTTTAATGTGATAAAGGGCCATAGGTCACCTTCAGATACCTGAAGTATCAGTGGGCACCAGTAAGTTTCCAACCTTCCTCCCTGACAGTTTTGTTTTTTCTTTTTTTCCCCTCCATAGGCTACTTTTGAAAAGCATTCTGTCAGGCCTCCTGGTCTCACCCTCTGCCCGTTCTCCTAACTCAGACACCATGACCGTGTCTTCTGCTAATTTTCTTACAGCCTTCAGCGTCTGGCACGGATCCTCTAGCAACATTACTGTTCAAATATTTGCTAAATTGGCTATGCATGGCTTCAGTGACATGCAGCTTCAATCCCAGCACTCGAGAGTCAGAGGCAGGCGGATCTCTGTGAGTTTGAAGCCAGTCTGGTCCATATAGCACGTTCTAGGCAAACCAGAGCTACACAGTGAGACACTTTCTCAACAAACAAATATTTGCTACATTAGAAGGGACACCTCAGAGACACTCATAAGAAAAGGATTTCTGAGACCAGCAAAGCTCTCATTAGGACTCAGGCCTCCAGAGGGAGAGGGGTTAAAGTAATTTATAAAAATAGATTAATGACAGGGGTCAGGCAGGAAAGCAGCTTTTCTTCAGGAAGTTTTAATTTTTATCTCCAGGGAAGGAATGAGAATAAACCATTCAAAGACTATAAAGGAGTAAAGTTATCAGAAGTGTGGGTATAATTATTCCTGAGGTCTCTCTTCAGTAATATTAAACCTCATCTTTCTATTTCTGTTAGTTACACCTCAACTAGAGAGCAGATTAAGAAAAAAGATTGCAAGTCAGGTGCTGGGAAGGGAGGGGGTAAAGAAGGATTTGCCATGGCGAAGGCGTGGAGGCAGTAGATGGATAACATTCATCTTTACATTTACTAGAGCTGAACAGTTAACAAAAAATCTATTCTGTGTGATTTGTTTAGGGAAGCAGAATTGAAGGAGGCACTCATGTGGTTTGGTCTGGCAAATCTTCTATTTCCTTTGTCTGTGTGCCCCCCGCCCCTTTAAAATTTACTTTGGTTATGCACATGGCAAGCTTTCTTCATGAGCCAGTAAATGCTGTTTGCTCTTTTCCATATATATATATATATATATATATATATATATATATATATATATATATATATATAATATGCTAGTGATAAAATTTTCCAGGATATAGAATATCATATGGTGCTAGAATATTTTTAACTTTCTAAGGACAAATACTCTTATTAATGCCTGAAATTCCACCTGCATAGAATCCCTTAGCACCCAACCATACAAAGGGTAACCCCACCCCCAGGCCTACTCAGAGTTGCTATGGTTGCTAAATGAAATGTGAAAGTTAAGGCATCCTTTCACTATGGGACACAGAGAATGTCAACACAGTCACCTCTGTAAACCCGAGGCTTGTCCTGAGAAGGACAAGATGACAGTCTTAACAGAAGAAAAAGAGGTTGGTGGGAGTAGAAAGGAATTAAAATGTTGTTCATGGATCCTGCAGAGCACATTGCCCCCCCCCCCCATTTTAGTATCTTTCAAATTGGTATCTTAAATTTGTGGTCATGCAGGAGGCAAGTCTCTCGTCAGTCTTATCTTACCATCTATAGGTCTTCGGTAGAGCTTCTTTGGATATGGTCACTGAGAGGAAATTCATGGGAGACCCCAGTGGAGCATCCTGTGAACAAATGTGTAAGTGTCAATGCTCTGAGTGGCCCAGATGATGACATGAAAATTGAGGACTTGTGGGATATTGGTTATCTATTGTGGTGTAACAAATTACTCCCCTCCCCAAACAGAGATGCTTTGAACAATACCCGACAGCTCATACTGTATTGATCAAGAATTTATGAGGCACTTTATTTATTTATTGGGTGTCCCTGGCCAGGGTCTCTACAGGCTGAGGCTACAGTCATCCTAACAGTGGGCTGGGATGGACAGTCCTCCTGGGCTTCCTTGGGAGGCTGCTGTCCAGAGGTGCCACTTCCTCACCTCCAGGGCTTGTGATAGAATTGTTTATGTGATGACATCACGCCTCCCTGGAAGGACAAATCCAAGAGAACAACTAAGAAGGAGGCCACAGTGATTTCTTATGATTGAGTCTCCAAGTGTCGGGTGTGTACACTGTATTCTATGTATCAGAAGCAAGTCATTAAGAGTAGTCTACACTCAGCAGAGGATGATCAGTCTCCATCTACTGAACCCTGGAGTATGAAAGAACAAATATGGCAATTTAAAAACTACCACTCCCAGCCTGGTCTACCAAGTGAGTTCCAGGAAAGGCGCAAAGCTACACAAAGAAACCCTGTCTCGAAAAACCAAGAAAAAAAAAAAAAAAAAAAAACAACTACCACTCAAGAGTAGGCATAGAGGCACACACCTGTAATCCCAACACTTGACGAGATGTAGACAGGAGGGTTAGGATTTCTAGGTCAGCCTTAGATACATATCAAATTTAAATTCAAGATCAGTCTGGGCTACATGAAAATCCTGAAAAGGGGTGAAAGGGGAGAGGGGCGAGGGGAAGGAAAAGAAAACTACCATTCAAATTTGGTGTAGTGCTGTATGTCTGTAGTCCCAACATTTGGGACAGATGTTGAGACAAAAGGCTCAGGTGTTCAAGATTGTCCTTGGCTATATATCAAGTTCAAGACCACCCTGGACTACATGGAGACCCTATCTTAAAAACAAGGCAAAGAAAACAACAAAGGTCTCACATACAGACAAAAACATGAATGGAAATGTCATCCCTGGTATGTGTTTCTTAACGTATGAGAGCAAGGCATAAAGAATGTCTAACTATCTAGCAAAGCTCTTTCGGAAGTATTAATGAAAACTTTTAGGCAATACTAGAATATCATGTTACAGTATCAATGATGAGGCTTCTTGGTGGTGTATAAAATGATTGATCATGTACTACATTCAATCAATAGCAGGGAAAATTTTGGAAGGAAGTAGTCTTCTTTATCTGTTAATGTTGCATTCATTAACCATTTCTCTGATTTACCTTTTAAAATTGTTCAAGGTATGATGATTGGATCAATTTGTATCCTATACCATTTTTATGGGAAGTTTTGAGTCAGCCCTAATGATTTTGAAGGAAGATGATTTCTGCATGTATTTTCTTCGTTTTCATGTTAAAAAAATACTATATAAAAGCATGGGCTTGGTCACAAAATTATCTTAGCAGTTAAATGAATGTTTGGGGGACTGGGCTTTTCCGTTCAAATATTGAAAGCAAGGGTGTTGATAGGACATAGAGCCATCTGGGACCATACTAGTTATTAAAATATTGAGAACACTCCACACACCAGGAGGTAATAGACATTTCTAGTTCCTAACTCCACTTCAGCCCAGGATCCAGCAAGGATGAGAAGAGGAAGAGCGGTTGCTCTGGGAACCTTCCCGTCACTATGTACACCTCCTTTGCTAAGTGGACTTTGTGCTTCGTGCCTCATTAAGTATCTTGACTGTCACCCTGGTCTTTGTTTGAGTTGCTATGATAAAAGTACCATAAAGTAGGTAGCTTATCTACATCAGAAACCTCAGTTCTTGGGAGCGGGAAGCACAAGATGAATGCTCTCTCGCATTGTGTCAGATGATGGTTCACAGCTGGCATCGTCTCTGTGTGCATTCACATGGCAAAAAGGTTGAGCTGGCTCTCTGGAGCCTTACACATGGGTACCCCTGGGACAATCACTTGTAAAATTCCCACTCTCAACACAAAATCTCCTTGAAGACTGAGCTCTAACATTAATTTGGGGATGCCCCAAATATTCAGAACACAGATATGGAAAAAGAACTGTCTTTATAATATTTTAAGGGGAATAGACTGCACTTGGAATCGGGTAACTTGGCTTGTTATTTAAATACGGAGAAAATTAATTGTTCTGCCTTTCTAGAACAAAGCAATCATTGCTTCACCTATTTAGTAAGATAAATTCAAGAGTCCAGCACAGACACTGGAATAAGCTGTGTGAACTTTTAGGCTATGGCAACACTCCAGGTTAAAACAGAAAAATTAACACAAAAGAGCTGTTTGGAGTTTCCTGAAAATCACACTTTGGGATTATCCTGAATGCCAGAGTTAAAGACATTTTCTATTTTCCTAAAAGACATAAACATTTAATTCACAAATCTAATCAAAATTCCATTAGAATAAAATGTATAAGGAGAAAAACAGAAAAGAATGTATTTTATTTGGATTTATTTGAGGGGGCAGTCTTAACTCATATTAACGCTTTCAAGAATTGCCAAGATTGCCAGGCAGTGGTGGCGCATGCCTTTAATCTCAGCACTTGGGAGGCAGAGCCAGGTGAATCTCTGTGAGTTCGAGGCCAGCCTGGTCTACAAAGTGAGTTCCAGGACAGGCTCCAAAGTTACACAGAGATACCCTGGTCTTGAATAACCAAAAAAAAAAAAAAAAAAAAAAAAAAAAAAAAAAAAAAAAAAAAAAAAAAAAAAAAAAAAAAGCCAAGATCACAGGTTCAAATAAGTTTAATTAAATTAATATTTAAAATTCACTTTTATCAGTAAGATAACTCTTTTCCTAAAAAATACAGAAAAATGCCTGTCTGTAAAGTGATCAACTCCAAGAAATCTGCTAGGTTTGCTTTTTTTTTTTTTTACTTTTTCTTAAATATGTCTTGTTCACAAACGAGATGTAAGAGGAAAGTACTTCAAGAATTTGTGGACCAATTTACATAGACTTTTAATACAAACTACCATCCACATTATGAAAAACAAAGCCAAATAAACAATGAGGACCACCACCAACAAAAACACCTCAGTCTCTTTAAATAAACTAATACAGGATCACCAAATTGAGACTTGATTTTTCAACAATATTTTTTTCTGTCCATGAAATCAGAAAGGAATACAATTAACTCATAAGCTTCATTCTTACAAAGCATCATTAGAGACATAACACTCCACCAAACACATACACAGAGCATAAGCTAGTGTAAAGACAGCTGTAAAGATATAAAATGGTTATGCTAATTAAAGGTGTAACCAGCTACACTTTTATTGAATTTGAAATTTTTCTTTTTGTTAGCCTGTTTGCTTTTATGGTATTTTCCTCAGTAGTGGTTTTCAAACTTGTTTGTTATGTTACCAAATACTTAGAAATCATGATGCCCTTTACATTGTCATGCATTATTCATACATTTAATTCCAGCATAAAATTATATAAACTAGAAACAATTTTATCAGCAGAAAATATAATTTTATTATAGCTTCCACATCACAAAAATACTACTATAAATAAAATATTTATTAGACTGCATTTGATAGCAAGATAATAAATAACACAATTTAAACCAAGCCAACCACCTAGAAAGGTAGGATGCAAAGATGAACTGTTGCTTGAGGCAGCTGTGCAGGCTCCTCTCTTTCTGTCTGCTGTCCCTTGGTGGTGTCTGATCTGTCTTCAGATGAGCTTTCTCAGCTGTTTCGAAACCTGGGCATCCTCACTTGCCTTGTGTTGGCTCCTCCCAGGAGGCACAGTCTCGATATGCTTCAGTAACTTCCGTCTCATTCCCAGTGTGACATGCTACTCCAGAGACCGTTGTCATCTATTTTGAGGCACAATACCTCAAACTAGCTCAGCTTGAGAAAAACACGGTTGAAATGGGGAATTCCTGCTGGAGTTTCCTTCCTTTTCACACAGTTTTAAGTTAGCTTTGCAACGTGATGCACCTTTTCCAAGCACTTCGCCATTAATCTTGTTGGGAAGTGTTCAATGCCTCCTGCTGGGTCTGATGGTTTATCTCCCCAGATTCCCATGTTGAAATCCAATTCTCAACACAGTAGAGGAGGTGGGGCCTCTATGAGGTGGTAAGATCTTAAAAACAGTGTCCTGAAATGATATTAGTGCCCCCTGAGAAAGAAGGCCCTCAGAGAGCTACCGCATGCCTTCTACTGTGTGAGGGTTGTCAAGGGAACACATGAACCAGAGATTTGGCTCACATCAGACACTGAACCTTGGGCTTGTTTCTACTGTTTACAGCCATCCAGTTTATGCTCTTTTGGCACAGTATCATGAATAAAGTAACCTCTTCTAGGTTGCCGACTGTGACTGTTGCTGCTTACCAGGTGCTTGGTGTACTTACTAACAGTGTCAATCACAATTGTGCAAATATGGGCAATATGCAGAAGAATAACTGAATAACTAGATCAACAACTAATCCAGGAGCCCAGCCTCAGCACTGGCTTCTTTTCCTAGTGCTACCACCATGGAGAGGTGGCTGCCTACGACCGGCCCTTTGTGCTTTCCTTTCTCTCCTTGCCCTGTTCCGTGATTCCTTCCACTATTTCAATTTGAGATCTTGCTCAGCTATCCAAAAATAGACAACTTCATTGCCACCTGCTACTAAGAGAAGCAGAGCCCAAGGCTATGCCAACCAGAAAAATCTTAGAAAATGACTTTAAAATCCTGCAACACAATTACAAATTGACGGAACATATTATTATGCACATTACAGCATGCACAACAATCACTGAAGAATCAAGGAATTCCACATTTCTTACTGGCATCTGAAGTCTCTGTACCCCTCTAACTCAGCACCTAAACTTTTAAATAAGCTATATCAAACTTAAGTTTTCTGACTTCAAGGTCATCTTTAACAACAGCACTGCTGACCACAGCTACTACAGTATTGGCTCTAACACTGCTTCAGCTCCGTACAACAGTTTCAGGTCAGCAGTCTGATTGTGACTGATTCCACTTTGGGCTTCAATCTTATTCATGTGGTTGAAATTCCTAGTTCAGAAACCAACCATTACTGCATTTGAAGTGAAAATTTCAGGTTTTGAGTTTATCTTTTCATGCAGTGTCATCATGATGAGTACATGTAACTCTTTCAGGAAACTGAAACATATACTAGTTTGGGGAGGGATAAAAAGACATTTAATCAGTGCTCACTGCTAAGAGGAACAGGCAAACAGGCCAAGGAACTCCAAGCTTATCTTTGGGAACTGACATAAGCTTTGGGCTTAAATAGAACCCAGGGGAACAAGCTACAGGCATAGTTAAGCAGTCCTGTCAAAATGGGTAACTTTACTTTTGACATGAAATCTTTTGACAAAGTTGTTACTTGGTAGAGGAGCATAAATTTAACTGCCCTTTGGTTTGATCACTGTTAAGAACATACCCTCCCTATGTATGCATGTACGCTGTGGCACAGCCATGTCTTTAGGCTATGCCTGTATAAGCTATGTACACACACAGTATACCACTCTATCTATTCCATGTTTAAACACTAGTTGGAGCCTTGTGGGCAGCTCGCTTCCCTGTGTGCCTAACATCCTGCAGTTCTCTGTACCAGCTCTGCTGAATCTGCAGACTTGGAAATGTGTCCACAGAAGTCATACTGTGGTGTATTCTCATGGTGGTAAGGTTTTTGTGAGACCTGCAAGTCTCTCCCAGAAGGAAAAGCAGTTCTGTTTTTTCTTACAGACTTTCACACATTTAGGTAGCCTACACTGCTTCTAATGTTGCTGAGCTTAAATATTATTTTAATTTTGTTTTTCATTTTTTAGACCATCCTACTATTTCCTAACATTTATTGCTTAAAATTATTTAAATAAAGTGTCTCTAAATCAAAAATTAATTTTCATAAATGTCTACAGCAATGGTCACAAATTAACATGCAATTTAAACTGATGTTCTTTGGCGGTATTTTCAGAACAGTGTTGATCAGATCTTAACACCAGGATTAAGAAGGGTTGCCAATACATTTTCTAGTGAGAGGCATTTAAATTTTCGGTGTTCACTGTGATGAGAAGGCTGGTAGTTTAAACACTTTATTGCTGCTCTATGGTATACATAATTAAATGAAGCATGTTCAACCCAAGGGGACTTTAATAGGTTACTTGCAATTGTTACTGCAGGCAACAACTTGTACATGATTTTATTTCCAAATCCACAAAAAACAAATTTTATACAAATCAGCACTGTAAAAATGTCAATTACAGCCCCAGAGGCTTTGCTGGCAGAATAATTGTCTAAATTCTAGGATATGGGAAAACAGGTTTTTTTTTTCTGTATTCATCTTTTTTTTCCATTTTCTTTTTTACAAAAAATTTACAAGTGAAATGTTACTACGAAACTTTTTATAAGGAATTTTTTGCAAAACATTTACATTTTACCATCAACTATTTCTGTTTTAAAATCATTATGTAGATTTAATACCCTATGCTGCACATCAATTTATGTGGGCTGACAACTTAGTGACATGCATAAAAAAAACACCACAAGGCATTAAAATGGAGACTTAAATACAAATATTGTTGCAATAAAACAGTTATAAAATTGAAAAATAGGACCTAAACATCATGCTTATCTAAGTTTGACAAATTAACTTTTTCTCCTAGATTACACACTTTTATTACTGCTCTCATGAGTGTGATAAATAATGACTTAACATCAAGTTCTAATGTAATCAGCAACACATACACAAACCTAACCAAAGAAAGTATACCGTAAGAGAAAACTACTCTAACACTGGAGTTCTACCATGATAAATACAGAGCTTTGCACTGATAATTTTACAAAGAAAAGCTTCATAACGGTGGCAAAGGGAATGAGCAGTGAAACGCCATTAACAGGACTCTACTGCACATCTGTGCCCTACCACAGCTACATCCCACTGAGTCAAATAAAGGACACTGAAATTTACGACTGCTGTACGACAGAAAGGTGGACTCAGAATGGTACGCAGAACAGACTGTCAAAATATTTCTAATTTCAGTGGTGAAATGTGCCTGCTGACTGATTATTTTATATACTATAAGGTAATCCAGATTCAGTCTGATACATTTATAATAGGCCTCATTGTTGGTGAGGATAACTTGCACTTCTGATGAGCATACATGGGTTGCATAAAACTGGCTCATGGAGTAATGATGCAGAGTGCTCATACTTGGTGCTAACAACAAAAAGTATAGCTCAGAGAAAACATGATTAAAACATTAAGAAAGTCTCTTTGCATAAAAAAAATTTATAGCATTGATTGTGTAGCATGATAGATAAAATATATATTTGATGTTTCAGCTCCTATATAATAAAATTAAAATTAACACTACCAAATGCTCCTCTGTACCAAACAAACAACAAACTGATTCTGATGTTTTAAAGCCAGATACATCAGTTGTTAAGAGTACATTAAATAAAATATACAAAACAATTTACAAAATTCAACTAAAATTTAAAGACTTTGTTACAAGTCTACAAAAGCTTTAAGAAACTTGAAATTTATAACCACAGTGTAAAAATTTTTTTTCCTTTAATCTCAAAGCTTTTTTATACAAACCGAAAGCACAAAAGGCCTTCAGTTTTATATAACGCTACAAAGGGCTGGCCTAAAGTGTACATAGTGTAAACAGTGATCATTACAGTATTTCTCCTTCATCAAAAATACAAGAAACATCATGATTTGGGAAGAGAATTTTCATGAGTAGTACTTTTCCTGAAACAATAAAAAATGCACAAGAAAACATATACCTATATTCAAACCAATGAAATGAAGTAGGTAAAAACTTTAGTTTCCAAATGGTCAGTTTCAATAGTTAGGACTCTGTGTAAATATTTTCTAAAAACATTGTCTTACTAATGTTTAATCTATTAGAATAATCCAATTGTTTTTCATATGAAAAGTTTGGCCATCTTTCCTAATAAGACACTGCTCTCTAAGACCCTTGCACAAACAATGAAATATATTTTCAGTCACTATTTGACTGAAAAGTATTCTGGTTTTCCAAAAATATTTTTTGCTTCATAATATCATTTCTATTATACATTTGTTAAGCTGTCTAAACCTTTAGGGAAAATTCTGTTATTGATACAACATAAAGATATCACTGTGATATAAGTTCTTAATAAACCTAACACAATACTAGAAATAAAATTGGATTTGCCAATTTTTAGTAAAGGAAAACAAAAATTATAATGTAGTTAAAAATAATTTTCTGCTGGCCTGGAAAAAGTATGATAATTCTTTCTTTGGCTACTAAGTCAAAGCATAAAGAATTCTGCACATTGTCAGCATAACTCATATTTATAGAACATGAAATTACATAGATCTGTAATTTATGTGAGCATTTCCAATATGAACATTTAAAATGAAATTTTGCTATTGAACACAGGGTTAGACACACAGTCAACCTTAACTTCCAAACATTGTTAAACTGCTTCCTCTTGCTCTTCTGAAGCTATCATGAATTCTGTTCTAACAAATTTTCTCCCAGCATTTCCCTAAGGTTTCAATCTAAAATTTAACCTAAGAGTTCGCTCTAAGGTCCTCTGTGTCTCCAAAATGGAGAAAATAATTGGGCTTCACTGATTGTCTGCGTACACACTACTATAATGTAGTGGTAATAAAGACCTGAGACACATCTCAGATTAGTATTTTGGAATGTAACCTAATTCAACTTTTGAAGAACTTTTGATATTTAGAAAAGACGGCCAAAACTATTTTGAATGGATTTTTTCCAAAAACCAAGCTAAAGAAACACAGTATTATCCCTGTTGTCAGATAACAATCTGTTTTCTGTGCTAAAGAGTAAAAGAAGTGCATGTAAGTTATTACTGGCTAAATTTTTAACAAAGTACTTCCAAACAGATTAAGTCCAATTAAGGTCCAGCCTGCAAATTCACGTGGTCTGTCTCTTGAGACATATTAACAACACATGATGTTAAAGGAGGGAGGATTCTGTTTAAAGGTTATGTGATGTATTTCCAAAAAACTACAGCAACTTATAGCATGGAAGAAATACTTTTCTGTTTCCAGTATATTGGTTTTCTTTTTCTATTTTTAAAAATTCAACACTTTATGTGTTGAACCAAAAAAATCCCTGGAATTCTTAAAGATGCCAAGGATGCAAATGTGATTTCCTACTCTGATTTCCACTTGACCAGCCCATTTCCAGATTTTCAAAGGTGTGTAAACGTAAGTGCAGCACGAGAGGTCTTTGTTACAGAGAGCGTCTCAGAATTCTTCCATGTTTGTTGAAACATTGGGAGTTGCTGGATTCGAATCTTGAGAAATGGCTGCAACTGTGACAATCCGTGGGGAGCCAAGCACCTCTGTAACGGATGAGTCCAGTTCTCCCGAGGTAACAATGGCAAGCGCTGTCCCACCGCCTTTCTTATTCTGGTGAGTTTTGACATGCTTGGAGAGGTGATCACTCCGCATAAACCTTTTAGAACATTCTGGACATTCAAATCTCTTTTCTCCTGTAAACATAAGAAGGAAATGAAATTGCATATATTTTAATTAAAAGAAAATTTTAATTTTTAGTAATTTCTCTTCCATGCATATTCCACTTTTATAAGATATGATATATAGAGATATGTCTAGTTTGGGTACAGAATATTTTCTTCTTATTTCTATGATGGTAGGGAGCAAACCCAAGGCCTTGCTCATGGTAGGTAAGCCCTCTATCACTGAGTTATCTCCTAGCCCTTTCTGTTTAAAACAACAACAACACAAACAAAAAAGACCTATTAAGCAAACAACGTAGAAGAAAAACCATGTGGCTGAAAATAAAAGACTCAAAGTTTGAAAGTCCTGCTTTGCCATGAACTGGGGGAAAAAAGTAGAACAAGTAAATAACCACTCTGAGCCTCTACTTCCCCATCCACAAAATGTCAGGATTCCTGACAAAAGAGCTCCTGACAGTCTCTCATAGCTAACAAAGCACAGCATGGAAGGGGAAGGCCAATGTGCAGTCACTAAATTGATAGCTGGGTCTCACCTTTAAACTGGAGAGGCATGATCTATCTTAGAAACTGTTTTAAGCTAAGAATGTAGTAGTATGCTAGGTTTTTATAAGAAAAAAAAAGTGAGTGCTGGGAACATATATTTCAAATTAAAGCCAGCTTTAAGCTTCCAAAGAGCAATGGTGATATTCTGATCCTTAAACATGTTTTGTACAAAATATAAACCAGTTCTAACTAGAACCACTTCTGCTTACTGGAATAAAAATCAAATGTTAACTAAAAAGGGGGAAACTCCTCTCTTCTTTTTGAGTAACAGGATAAAACACACGAAAGCTTGATTGACTGTTTTATCCTGATGTTTACAAAGGCTAAGTAAGTAGCTACTGGCTTCAGTCCTTCCTTCTACAACTGCTATGGCAGAGAAACGGGGTTGTTCTGGTGGGAAACAGAACTCGGATAATACGGAGATTCATTTGTCAGACTTTTTTTCCCTTGCCCCTCCTCTGACTTACCAAAAATAAATCTACAATTTCAAGTTTTGACACATCAGATGTTCCCCTAACCCCACTCTTGCCTTTGACTACATTTACAATTCAGAATTTTTCTATTAAAGGCTAAATAAATGCATTGGACAAAATTGTCAGAGACAATGAAAATACAGGGAGCAAATCTCTAAAGTAAAGGAGCCCAGATATTATGAATGCTGACACTCAGCAAAGGTGAAAATTAAATACAGCTGAGAAACAGTCTTGATGTCATTTACTGTCTGACCATAAAAGAAGAGTTCAGTTTACAACTTTCAAGCTAGAGAAAACCTGAAGATCTAGTTTTAGGTTTTTATTTTATAGATGAGGAAGTGGAGGCTCAAAGACTTGCTTGCCTGGAAGGCACAGAACCTACATATGGGCTTTTTATGGTCCCACCACAGGGCAACTGCAGACTGCCATTACTTCACAGCCACCAAGTCTGATTCATAGACCAGAGGGTGATAGCTGAGATGTGGGTGCCTCTTCTAAGTACAAAGCTGGAGATAAATCTACACCACGGGCCGGGCGGTGGTGGCGCACGCCTTTAATCCCAGCACTCGGGAGGCAGAGCCAGGCGGATCTCTGTGAGTTCGAGGCCAGCCTGGGCTACCAAGTGAGCTCCAGGAAAGGCGCAAAGCTACGCAGAGAAACCCTGTCTCGAAAAACAAAAAAAAAAAAAAAAAAAAAAAAAAAAAAAAAATCTACACCACGGCTGTCTAGCAAATACTCATTAACTGCAATGTTCATAAACTCAGTCACTTCCAACAATTATTTGTAGACTATCTATGTAAGGCACTGGCCACAGAAAAGCTGGACATCTGACTTGAACTCCTGTTCTTAAAGTATCAGCCACTGTGCAGATTCCGTCCAGTGAGTAGTCCAGGTACTCTACAGCTCCGTGACAAATGGAAACAATGGTGACATGCTCAGTGTGGACGCTCCCAGACTTTCTACTCATCTATTTGGTTACCAAATTAACTTCAAGCCACAAAGGAGCTGGCTAGAATCTCAAATATTCAAAATTATATTGTACATGTATACTTTCACTAGAGGAATGACTCCTTTTGGCTCAATGTCCTTTTCAAGAGAAGTGTTTTCTGCTCTACTGGGTAATAACTTCTTATTTTGTACTCTCCGCAAGCACCATCAAGGGACTTTACGTCCAGGATGTAAAGAATGTTTATATTAACTACAGATGATACAATTTTATAGTCAAAATTATTTTAATTATTCCAAATCTACCTGGGCTTTCAGAATTCATGATTGCCCTTCCTGATTCAAGAATTTACTTATCAAATCTGTTGATACTGGCTACTGTCATAGACAACGTGGCCCTGCAAGGATCAATCCCTAGAAGTTGCACATGTTACAGGATGATGGGGTTTAATAGCTATTACTAGATAGATTATGGAATTTGATACAGGAAAATTATTCTCAACTGTATAGGTGGCCCAATCTAATCACACCAGCTGTTCAAAGAGACCTCTCTGTACCCAGTGTTAGAAAGATCACAAGTGTGACAGGGACCAACCAGAGTTTTGAAGTGTCTCAGAATACGTGCAAGAAGAAAAGCAGGGAACTTTCAAGAGCAAACACTGGCCAGGTGACCAACAGCAGGGAGCAGGGACCTGATCTAACACCAAGGCTGGACTGACTGAGTGCAGATGGGCCTCACAGCAGCTTCTTTCCCTGAGCGCAGCACCATGCACACACACTCTGACCTGTGACTTAAAGAAGCTAAAGGACAAGTGTGCTCTTTCAACGGCTAAATTTATACTGTTCTCTTCAGTTCAGTTCTATGGACTTCTATAAAAAAGGACAGAGCATCTTGTCAAATACTTACTGTATTATTTAAGCTACTGCCATTTTCTTCTTTCTTCATTAATCTGCTAAATTACACTGCCTGAATGATGTTCAGATGTTCAGACTTTCAAGCCTAGAATGTAGTCTTCTTAGATCTGGACCCAGGATGTTCTTTCTCAGAAGTTTTTAATAACTATTCAATTTCTTTACAATACAGGACTTTTCGTGATATCTATTTCTTTTTTCATTTTAAATTAATTGCAAGCTGGGCTAGCTTGGCCTTAAGGACTATAGTAAATAAAGATGCAACTGCATACATGCAGACACACATAGCCATATATATACAGGGCCTCAATTATATAGCTCTAGCTGGCCTGGAATCCACTATGTAGACTGATGAGCACTGAACTCACAGAGATCTACCTTCCTAGTGCTGTAACTAAAAATGTGCACCACTATGTCAGGCCCTAACTTAATTTTTTGTTAATTAATATTGTTCCCCCTTCACTTCAAATTTATTTCTAATAATAATGTTTTACCATCAAGAACTTTTGGATATAAAAGTATTATCATGAAGTATTTCTTCTGGTGAAAAATCTGATGGTAAAAATTCTTAATTTGATTTCCTCTCGAAAAAGTCTGTCAGGAGAAATGGATCAGTGGGCAAGAGCACTTGTGCAGCCATGAGGACCTGAATTTGGATCTTCAGATTCCAGCACCCATGAAACACATTGAGGGTGGTCTGCACACACCTGTAACTCCAACACTGTAGTGGGGTGGAAGGAGGACTTGGGCTTGCTGGCTCTCAGCCTAGCCCTGTGAGCCACAGGTCAGGGAGAAGCCCTGCCTCAGAGGAAAAAGGCAGAGAGTGAGAGCAAATATGTGATGTCCTCTTCTGGCCATGCACACACGAGTGTGCATGTGCACACACACAGACGCACATACCATACATACAAAACACTTTTTGTTTGTTTGTTTTTTTGAGACAGGGTTTCTCTTTGTAGCTCGGCTCCCCTGGAACTCACTCTGTACACTAGGCTGGCCTCCAACTCACAGAAATCCGCCTGCCTCTCGAGTGATGGGATTAAAGGCGTGCTACCACACCTGGCTTACAAAACACATTTTTAAAAAGGACTCTTAACATGTAGCCCAGGTTGGCCAGAAATTTATGAAGTAGCCCAGGCTGTGTTCCTGTTCTTCTTCTTCCTCCTCCTCCTCAGCTCCTTAAGTTCTATGGTTATAGGGATATGCTACCATAGCTGGCTAAATGGTCCCAGTTTGCTTTTGATAACAGGATATCCTCCCTTGCTCCTCAACCACCATAATTTTTAGGGGAACCTACTATCATTCAAATTTTCATTTCCTCTATACATCAATGTATCATTGTTCTTTCAGTGCCCTTCAAGATTCTCATCATCTCTGATCTGAGCTGGCTGTTCCTGTGACACTTCTGGGCATGTTCTCCTTTTAGCACCTATCTAGGATTTACCTAACTTCTGGGTCTCTAATAAATACCTAATATGGGAAACCTTGGACATTTTATATATTTTTTTTCCTGTATCAAACTTTTCCCTTCTTCCCAATAACACAAACGTTAGACCCTTTATTTCTGCTCCACATATCCTGTGGTCCAGCTCACTCTCTTGCTGTCTTAATCTATTTCTTTTGCCTTTCAGAATTCACAATTTCTACTGCTCTGTCTTCAACTGCATCGCTCTCCTGTTATAGTCCCCATCTGGCTACTGAACATTTAGTTATTTTTTTACTTTGAATATTGTACTTTTCCACTGGAATATGTCCTATAGTTTTAATTTGTCTAATTACAAGTGTCTACTTTTCCATTCTTTTCAATCATGTTTGCTCCTAGGCAGTCCATGGACCATGTTTTTAATGGCTGCTTTAAAGTCTGATAAATTCTTAAGTCTGGATTATCTTAGCATTCTATTGTACTCTGGAAAGTTTAGATTTTATGCTGTGGAGATTATGAGTCCTTCGAAATCTTCTGGAAAATGTTTTCATATTAGAAGATAATTCCATTTAAGTCCACTCAGACTCAGTCTCATTCTTTTCTTGAGTTTCCAAATTTCAATATTAATTCCTTTTTGAAGGCATTGTTCAAGGGCTAGGGAGATGTCTCAGTGGGCAAGCGCACTTGTTAGACAAGCACCAGAACCTGAGTGTGTA